TATTCTTGGTAGCGACCTGGAAGCCTTGTATCAATATTCCCCTTTTCGTTCTCTCCATTCTCTCTCTTCATCGCTCTTTCATCGCTCAAATCAAGTTTCGTTATGTCATTAGGTGTATCATAAACAATGTTGAATAAAAAATCAACATCATAGCATTGGGGACACTCCATAAGCGCTCCGTCCGCATCTTCAGCAGTGAGCAAAGAGTTCCAATTCCAATGGCACCAGTAACTGTCTGATTATATATCCGTCTCGCCTTTCCCTTGAGTGTCGAGCGTCTATTAATGTCCATTCTCCGCAGGCCGTAATGATCTGGCTGTGCCTCCGCACTGTGCACTCGCTCCGAAAGGGCCCTCACAGCATCTATCTTGTCATACATAACCACCAAGTGGCACAGAACAGGCAAGTTTATCTGTTTATCGGATTATCATAAACATATACCTTTAAAGCACCTTGATTTGTTATGTAAGTCTCTCAACTTTAATTTTTCTCATTTGCAGAGAGCTCCAAGAGAATCTAATCCGATCTCACGCAGCAGGTTTGTTTAAATACATACATTTACAATTATGTTTAAAATAACATATGGATTAGAAACCAGAGAAACGATGGATTAGAAACCAGAGAAACGAATAAAATTACAGCTGACACGAGTAACGCAGAAAACTTAGGGTCTCTATACACTAGTGTCATCTTTAATGGGCTCCGTCATTTTGCTGAATAATGCACGTGCTTCTGTGTCGTCTTAAATATACTCCTTCATAGAAGAGTGATAGAAGGACACCTCGAGCCAATGAACTTTGTGTTCAAAAATTACAATCAGTGATATGATGGTAGAGATTTAATACTGAAGCAGATCAGATACACTTGGAGTCTCCAACTGGAAGGAGAAGGCCATTCAAGGTCAGTCCCAGAGATGAGTGGAGGCGGATGATATCCGCTGTAATTAACCTGTAGGGCACGGATTGCTGAAGGCGAAGCAGCAGTAGGTAAGCCGTAAAACACATTCTCCCTGGTTCATTTACAAACTGCATCAAAAAAATATCAAAGCAGTAGAAGATATGTTTAGCTTGGTAATATACTCTCCCTGGGTAAATGCCGGGGCCACACTGTGGGGACAACCAGAATAAACCACGGCCGACTCTGTTCTGAAGAAGGCGGTGATTAAACCCACTGCCTACCTCAAACAAGCATGTCGTAGGTGTCGATTAATTTGGAGCTTGCTTCGAAGTCGGAAGGAATCTGCCCGTGTGGCAGGGAACAACCAACTACACACAAATAAGCCAGTCAAACTGATGTACATGCAAAACTCTGGCTGTGGTACAAAACCAAAGTCCAAATGGATAAACAGCCAGGATTTCCGCAAAAGATTTCAGCTAGTGAATGTAGTAGTAGTAATAGTAGCAGCAGCAGCAGCAGTAGTAATAGTAGTACAAGAAGAAGAAGAAGGAGAAGAAGAAGAAGAAGAAGAAGACAATATGATCTCAAAATTCCTAATCTTATATCTTTCATTATCATCAGTCCATGTTTAGACACATAAGGAGATGGTCATGGTATAATCCAGCTCGCTCAACCTGACACCTCCTACCTGATCTTGAAGTAGTCGATAAAAGTCTGACTTTAAGGACATTCACGGCAACTCATGTCTACATATGCCCAATTAACTTGCCTCGGCATTTTGAAATCGAAAGGAGTGACTCGTTAGCCTCAGCGTCAGCTGTGTTTCAAAATCAGACACACACATACATTCACACACACACACACACACATGTATATCTTCAGATTTATATATGCATTGTATGTATGTATATATATATATATATATATATATATATATATATATATATATATATATATATATATATATACATATATACAATGCATATATAAATCTGAAGATATATATATATATATATATATATATATATATATATATATATATATATATATATATATATATATATATATATATATATATATATATATATATATATGTGTGTGTGTGTATAAAGAAAAATTGCGGTAAGTAGGATTATAAGGGTGTACACATTTGGATCATCAAAGGCGGCTACAGACAGGAGCGCCACGTCAAAGAAAAAACGTGGTTCTAATTTTTCTAGAGGCAGGATCAAGGGGTTTAAACCTTGCTTAAGTGCGCAATAATAATAATTACATTTTAGTAGGCGTTGAAGGGTTAAAAAAAAGTATCATTACATTTTTAATGATGTATAATGTTTTAATAATACTTTAAAAAAAGAGGAAATCTATAAATGGTTGGAGTGAGAGAGGGCAGTTAGCCCGCTTCAAATCGTTTAGGGCGGGGAAGAGATGGCTCACAATTACCGCCGTCAGAAAATTAGTGAGGGAGTTCAATGCCCTCTAAAACAATGGGGGTGGGGAAGCAAGATGCCTGAGCCCAATTGTTCCTTCTTCTGTGGCTACAGAGTTCCAGCAGCGTTCTGAAATTCCCTATGTGTAATTAACTGCAGCTTGCACTGCACAGCTGATTCTAACCCTAGTATGTCGGGTTTGTGAATCCCCTTTTACAGTTCCTAAGCCAGAGACGTAGCATAGTAACACTACCGAAGTAAGTAAATGGATTATAAATTTGCATTTGCCAAAATTGCCAAGATCGATAATTACAACCACGCATATGGATGCCAGGGTCCCACTGGAAAAATATAAGAATAGACCCATTGTCTCCTAACATGCATGTCGTAAGAGTAGACTAATTAGGGATGTTACCTTTTAATAGGAGTGCATCTGCCTGAGAGGTTAGGAACCAACAGTCCGCATACACATAAGTCAGATATGTAAAACGGGTGTGTATGCACTACCCAGGTTCTGAAACAAGACTAGTCTAGAAGTAGATTAACAACCAGAACTTTCCCCTGGAGTTTACAGCCGGTGAATGCAAAGATAAAACTGAATTGCACGGCTACGTAATGAAACGAATACTTGAACTAATCCGTTGACATCTTGCAGGTGTCGGACATGCCTTGTCTCCGGAGAGAACTAAAATGCTGTTGGCTTTGAGGATCAATGTACTAGCCAAAGGTTATAGCGGAGTGTCCCTGGAAACCTTAAAAAAGATGATCGCAGCTTTCAATGGTAGGTTGGTATTAATTAATTCATTGGCAGTTAATTTTGTAAACTCTATGCATTCTAAAAGATTACTATACCCGCTCGCTAGCGTAGCTGGTTAAACCTGACTTTGCGGCGACCCGGTGACGAACGCCTTGTGGTCCGGGTTCACGTCGGGCGGTAGGCAGAAAAGCCATATTTCTCCCAGATTTACGTTATCTATCATGGAATCAAGACCGAAGGGTTGAGAGATCCATAGTGCGGAGCCAAAGGTTAACAACCCATGGTTTTTACTATCTTTTATCGACAAACTTGCTGCTTTTAAAGGTAAACAATTTTTTTAAATTGTTTTTATTGTTGATGATGCGATTTTTTGGTATTGTTATTAATCTCATCAAAATGTTATCTCATCATCCGTTGTACCTTTTGGTTTTAGAAGCGAAGTTTAAGCAGCTGGAAAATGCCTTTTGTATAATTCGCAAATGGGTGTTCATAGGTAATATCTTGTTAACCCTGTCAGTCGTTTAGTTTACATGGTCGGACTCTTTGTGTGTGTGTGTGTTAGAGTTCACCTAACTGAATTTATGGTTACGATTGTATTTTACATGTCAGGTTTCGGTAGGATAAGACTAAGCTGCTATGTGACAGTAGTCAGTGCTTCCTTTTCTCTGTTAAAGCCGAAGGTGGGTCACATACACCAAATATGACCCAAATTGTGACAACTACGTGGATAGAGGGGCGCACATGAGAGGACAGTTGACGGCCTTCTCTTCGGATCAGGAAATGCAGCCTGAAAACCTTTTGTTTTGACCGGAAAGTCCAAGTGCTAAGCCCTGGCTGGCAATTGATCTCGATGCAAGCTCTGACTAGCAGACAGAACACAACTCTTCAGCTCTGGCAGCTTCTCAGTCTGCTTTGTTCTAAGCGTTTTGGTATTACTTTTTCTTTAGACTAAATAAGGAAGTCAAGAAATAGATCATGACACAGGGACAACACATCGCTGCTACCCCAGCTTATACTATGGAGAGGAGGAACTTCATCCATAACCTTGATTAGTCTTGGTTTCAAAGCGAGAGACAGCAGTTACAAGTCTTTGTCATTTGGAGTAGGCGTTCTTGTATCCCTTTATTTCTGTCTTGTGTGTTCTGTCTTTCTTATTCAACTTCTTTGTATTTATTATTAAACCAAACTTATTTAAAAAGCAAGCTACTGAACGTAAAATTATTTCGTAAATGCCCAAACGTCCAACAAACTCTATAATCGGTTAGGTGATGTCTTGTAAATCAGCAAACTTTCAACAACACTGTCTTTTGTTCCATTGAGTTAACAATGTTGACAGGTGTATTGCCTGTTAGGATGAAAATCAATTAAAAAAATATGGTAGCATGGTGATGCAATTTCATTTATATTGAAACTGAAACCGGAATACGTTTGAATATTTAATCATTTTCATTTACTTTCTTCCTCGACAGCATCTTGTCTGTCCTGGGTTCCAGAGAAAGGAACAGTTGGCGCTAGTGGTGATCTGGCTCCTTTGTCCCACTTGGCTTTAGGTTTGATCGGTGAAGGAAAAATGTGGAGTCCAAAAAGCGGATGGGCAGAAGCGAAGTTTGTACGTAAAATATTTTAAAATGTGACACGAGCCTTCTGTTTTATCTTAATAATTGACTTTCCGGCTAACTAATATCTGTTTCTGAATATAAGTATATGTGTACGCATACATACAGTGTGTGTGTATGTGTGCACATGTGCGTGCGTGTGTATGTTTGTGTGTCTAGTAGAGCTTTCACCAAACTTTCAGTAATCAGTGACTGCAACATGGCAATTACGTATAACCCTCGCAGTGGTTAAAGCATGGCTGACGTTCATATTCTCAATAAACATTTTTGTCAAACACTGAGTTTAATTTTCCTTTATAGGAAATAGGATCAAGCATATATGAAACTGGGTCATGCTTCTCTAGATACTGTCCCTTGTGACTGCAGTTTATGTGTCCTCAAGTAAACCACGACAGCTCCTTAGATAGTAAACTATTCAGAATTGTCGCCGGGGTTTCAGCTACCAGTTACTGCCTACGTTTCACCACTGCTGCGATTTAGGCAAAGAGGAGGAGGGCCTTTGAACCTGAGAAATTAGGGTGGCGTCGCTAATGCTGTCATCAGACTGGGCAGGTTAGGCTTTTTTTGTTTTGTTTTGGGCCCCCGACAGAAACAAATCCATGACCTTACAGAGAAATGGAACCTGGGTGTACCGCCTGAGAGTCCAGCGTTCTTAACTGTTCGGCCAGCCGCTCTTGCAGCATTCAGTCGCTAACTAACAACAAATTCGTTTTTCTTTTCAAACGTCCGATAATTGTAAAGAAATTCTACATCTTGCTGGTTTATCTTCAGCTGTTGCCACTGGTATGGCTTTTAACATAGTGCCAGGTGTTTAAATTTGCCGGACTCTCTCTCTCTCTCTCTCTCTCTCTCTCTCTCTCTCTCTCTCTCTCTTTCTCTCTCACTTACTCACTTTGAAACATTGTATATACTGTGTACCTGGTACTGTAAAAATGGTCGTTCGTATCTTCTCTACACCAATAGTGAAATTATTCCTTACATGTTCATTTTGACATTTATTATCATTAATAATAATAATATTATTATTGTTATTATTATTATTATCCTGTACGAACATCAATTTCTTTTCATCGAAACTTATTGCAGGTCCTGGAGTCACATAATCTAACGCCCATCAAGCTGAAACCAAAAGAGGTAGGTAATTTATGCAGCAGTTATTCAAGGTGTCTTTTGTTGTCGTTCTTATTCGTCCATCACAAGTGATGAAGGCCAATCATCCCCTTGTCCGTTAAGAAACTGTAAGAACAAGTGACTTGCGCAATAGATCAGTTTAAAGTGAGAAAGAGTGACGCAATACCGCCGATATTAACTCCCGCCTGTGTCCATCTGGATTCATTGGCTGGACACGTCGAGGCGGCTGGAGATGAAGACCGGTGCAATGGATGATCAGGGTGTTCTACCTGCTTCACCGTGCGCTGCTGGTATTCGCTGTCAGGTCCGTGGAACCAAATATTAATTTCATCCTCACATTCAACCGAGTCCAGTCTTTCATGCTTGAAAAGGACAGATCCTGACTCACCGAAGGCTATAAACTATTCGGCTAACCTCACCTGGTTTAGCCGGCCTGCCAAAGCCGTTGCCTGGTGTGTGTGTGTGTGTGTGTGTGTGTGTGTCCTGGGTGTATATGTGTGTGTTGTGTTGAAAGGGGGGATAGGGGGCTGCGTGGTCTCGAGGCATGGCGTCCACCTCGGGTGCTCGAGTTCCCGGATTCAAGCACAGATGAAGGCCGGACATTTTTCACGTAGACTTCTAGTAATTTCCCCTTGTCTCTGGCTAGTAAGATCGGACGCCCGTGTATTGCTGCGCATGCAAACAATCATTTGGCATCTGGAAATCAAAAATAGTTGCCTAAAGGCGCTGCCCAAGCAAGAATTTGAAGTTAAAAATCTACTTAAAGTATTTCAGGATCCTCGTCGGTGCTACGGAGTTAGTGCTTTGCGCTGTGATTCTTTAGACTCGGGATTGAGTCAGAAGTAGAACGGAACACTTATGGGTTACTACCCTTGTGCCATGATGTTGATCAGTCGTCTAAACCTGAAAAAGGGGTGGGGGTGCGCTGACGCATGCTGGCAGCCACAAAGAGCCCCAGGTGAGAGCTGAATGCCAGGCTTGACCAAAGGGAGATGAATGTGTCTTAAAAAATTATACCAGGTGTGTTCCTCCTGGTGAGACATTTAAAAACATCCTGCTTATCTCTATCGTCCTTTTCAGGATGAAATTTTTTATTTGAAGCTCCACCCTGGCTTTTGCCGGGGGCCGCAATATAGGCAGGCCATAAATATGGCCAAATGTCTGAACGCGGTTTCTTGGACCTCTCCACGGCGATCCTCATCCGCATGGTGGCACTTTGTGTCATTGGGTGTTTATCGCTTGTGTGATGTCCTAGTGGGGTAGAAAGTCAGTCAGACATCCTGCATTAATAAATGATTTTCTTCTTCTTTTGTGGTGTCTATTAGTCGGCGTCTCTGGCTTAGGCGTGCGAACGCGCTTCGTAATGCCGTGGTGTAGGATTCGGGCCTTGCCTTGGTTTCGACAGTGGTATCGAGAAGTCGATCGTCCAGAAAGCAATGGCAAACTCATCATCATCATCATGTAGCAGGTCCTTTGCAGAACGTCGCTCTCATCACAGTCTGCCTGAAAGAAACTCGGACTCTAGCCAGTTCTCCTGCCTCATGTATTTACATACTCAAGGAGTCACTTATATCCTGTGCCCATCTTCGTGTTGGTCGGCCCCTGCCCCTCCTTCCTGGTACCATGCCTTCTGCTATAGTTTTTTCCAATCCGTTGTGGCGCTTGATATGACCAAAATATTTCAGCTTCCGAGAAAGGATGCTGTTTATTAGCCAATCTTTCTTGATGTTCAGATCTTTTAAGATGTAAATATTTCTTCTCTTCTTTGTCCAAGATATTCTGAGAATCTTTCTATAGCATTTCAGCTCAAAAGCCCCTATCCTCTATCTTACGGACTGAGAGATAGTCCACGACTCACACCCGTATGTAGCCACAGGGAAGATGCATGCTCTCAAAATTCTAATTTTTATCTTCTTGCTGGTGCTTAACCATAGACTTTTAAGGCTGTTCAGTCTTTGCATTGCAAAGGCCACCCTCCTTTTAATTTCTGTTGAACAGTCTCCATTGCTGTTTATTATAGATCCTAGATATTCAAAGTTTGTGACATTTTCAATTTCTTCATTATTTATTGTTATTTTTGGGTGACAGCCAGTTTAATCTGTGGACATTATTTTCGTTTTCTTTAAATTCAAGAACAGATTTTGATCTTCACTGTGCTTTTGGACAGACAATATTAAATTGTCGATTCCCTTTACGCTGTTCGAAAGGAGGACTGTGTCATCTAAAAAGACCGCCGGGCTTAAGGCCGTCATCACAACTACCCTTACTAGCTCTGCCATCGTTCTCTTCCCCAGTTCGCGTTTGTGATCTGCCTGGCCTGGGGGCCTCACCATCAGATCTTTGAGTTTCATTTTTGGCTTCCATGATGAGTTTCTTGAGATAGTAATGTGGTAGTTTCCCGTTGCTTTCCACATCCACATGGCTTTAGACCACGTCCTCAGCCTTCAGCAACCTTTTCGATTGCTAGGGTAAGTGAGTGCCCTGCAAATGGCCAACTACTGGACGTAAATTGGCCCAGAAAAACCACAACAGCCAAAAAATGCTAAGGTTGGTTCTGTAACGTTATGTAAAGAATAAGCAATTAACTGTAGATGTCAATTAATGCCGTTTTAAGTAATTGTTTTTGCATCAATATTTAATTGTATGAAGTAATGAGTGGTAAAACAAAAACCTAATTCTCATAAGAAGATTCTAGAGAAAACACACTGTAAATAGTTTAATAACTTTTTTGTAAATAACAATTTTACAGGGGATTGCACTGATAAATGGAACACAACTGATTGCTTCTTTGGGCTGTGAAGGTATGTTCATACTAACATGTTTGAGTCCACCGTACTTATCAACATTTGACGGTTGTCAGAGTGCCCGAATAAGAATGGATAATGGATGCCATTTTTAGAATATATATTTAAATGTTTCATGCATACGTATATAAATTCATACACACACATACACACATACATACACACATACTCACATGTCTGTCTGTCTGTCTGTCTGTCTGTCTGTCTGTCTGTCTGTCTGTCTGTCTGTCTGTCTGTCTGTCTGTCTGTCTGTCTGTCTGTCTGTCTGTCTGTCTGTCTGTCTGTCTGTCTGTCTGTCTGTCTGTCTGTCTGTCTGTCTGTCTGTCTGTCTGTCTGTCTGTCTGTCTGTCTGTCTGTCTGTCTGTCTGTCTGTCTGTATATGTATGTGCATGTGGGTGTGCGTGCGTCTAATATAAAGAATTATAACAACATCACATATATTTGACGCACAGCTTTGGAGCGAGCAGAGTCAATAGCAAGACAGGCCGATATTGTGGCTGCTTTCACACTTGAAGTCTTGAAAGGTTCAACAAGGGCGTTTGACAGCAGTAAGTTGGTAACTTTTTTCTTCACGCTAATAACTTTTAACTTCCACGCTGGGGTAATGGAGCCACATTTTTTAAAGAAAAAAAATTAAAACCTACCGTTCCATAACAAGCGTAAAAGGTGATGAATTAAATGTTTCTCCATTGAAGTGAGAGTATATCTGGCTGGGCGGCAAGGAATTAACAGTCTGCCTTTAAAAAACACAATCTGTAAAAATGGATATTCACACACAACTGAGGTTTTGGAACAAGACCAGAAGTAGACAACAACCAGAACTTTCCACATGAATGCGAAGAAGAAAGAAACTATTAACTGTTTTCTAGTTGTTCTTAGTAATTGCAACTATTTACCTCAAACAGATAGGAAATAAAGGTTAGAAACAGATAGGAAAAACATAAAGTATACGTAAGCTTTACAGAACCAATTACCGTAGATAAACAAGGGACGTTACAGCGATAGCCTTCATCAGCAGAACACGTATTTAGCTATATTGTATGCCAGTGTGTTGGCTTCACAGCTCAATCACATTCCTCACCTCCTCTTTCTTTATGAGTATGTGTGTGTGTGTGTGTGTGTGTGTGTGTGTGTGTGTGTGTTCAGCTCAACATTTATACGGAACTGTGTGGCATTTGTTGTTGTTGTTGCTGCTGCAACATTTTCCTGCCGCGGTGAAAAAATAGATGGATACATGGAGTGTAGGAAGAGAAGACGCCGAAGATTGAGAAGGAAAAATACAGAGTCAGAAATAAGTAAAAATAAAATTAAAAGCAGGGAAGAAAGTTGATGTAAATATATATTTTTTTAAAGGAAGGTGAGGCTGATAACGTACGTGATTATGTTGATTGCCCCTGTACCCCCACCCTCCAACAATGTTGGAATGACTAACACATACTTATGTATACTTATGACAGAAATACACCAGGTTCGTCCGCATAAGGGTCAAATTCAAGTGGCTAGTCGCATTCGTGCCTTACTGCACTCGGAAACCTACCCAAGTGAAGTGTCAGGTATGTTTAATTTATCAAACTTTGGTATCCTTAGAGGTATTTGTCTTTCAGTTCCCCCATCTTTATCTACATGACTGACCAAATAGGTGTGCGACCTTACGTCTTGAAGTGGGGTACCATTAAGAGAAACCAAATTACTATTTACCTGACTTATTGTCATTATCTTTGTCTTTTCCTTGTGGATTTTCAGACCAAGCTGCTGTGATTTCGCGTCAAGTATATTTAATGTATCTTGATCTGATTCCGTGAGTGAGACAGAAGAGAAATGTCAGCGAAGTAAGATCATCAGTCTGTTTTGTAGGAGTTCACTGAATTCCATTCTTGGTGTTAGTAGTTGCTGTCTTCATAATCCAGTCTATAGCCATTAAAAATAGGAGAGGCAACAAAAGACATCACTGAAGCACATCTGTTTTTTTTAAAATTTCTAATGTATCTATTAGATATTCCCCATGAGGAACTCTATATTTCATTTCTTTACATTCTGAATTTACTAAGTTGACTATTTTCTATGATATTCCATAGGCTCCCATTTTTTCCCAGACAGATTCCTTATCAATGCTGTCAACAGTTTTTTAAAGTCTACGAATCCAAAGTAAAGTGGTTAATTAAATTTAACGCTTTGCTCTGTTATTATATTTATGTGGCTGTCTGGTAAGTACAGGATCTGTTTGCCCAAAAACTTGTTCATCTCTTAGACTTTTATCTATAGCATCTTTTAGTCTGTCCAAAATAATCCTACTTAATATTTTTTTAATGAATTGATAGCAACTTAATTCTTCTGTAGTTGTCAAACTCCTGTAGATCATCGTTTTTTAGGGGGGGGGGGGCAGTTTTACAAGATATCCTTCTCTCCAATCTGCTGGTATTTCATCGGTCTCCCAGACTTTACTAAATAATCTATGTAGCAATCCCGTTGATGTGTTTAACTGGTCTTAATAACTTCGGCTGGGATACCATTGATAGCTTTTCTAATTTCCTCTTTGGATGGTATCTCACAGTTGATATCCAGTTCCATTTCTAAAAGCTGGATATCTGGAGAAACCTCTAGGCCTGGTCTATTTAAAAGTACTTAAGAATATTCAGCCCATTTGTAAATTTGATCTTTAGTGTTGGTGAGTCCCATTTCTTGACTATTTTTGATTGATCCAGTCGTCTGCCTATTTTTACTTACTAATTTCCTTGTTACTGGGGTTTCTTTTTGCTGCTGCTGTCTCCACTTCTTTTGCTCAGTCATCTAAATATGTCCTTTTATCTGCCCTTATTCGTCTCCTAACTTCCTTATTAGTTTCTGGGAATTTTTCCTTAGCTCTAGCAGCTCTAGTTTTGCTATTGTTTAAATCATGCCTTCTTTTTTCTGGTGTTATCCACGCTTTATGTTTCCGATCTTTCTTACCAAAGACTTCTACACAACATTCATTTCAAATTTCCTTGATCTTCTCCCAGCAGACTTCAGTGCATAAATCTTCAGCTAACTGCTGCAACACCTGGTACTTATTAGAGACTGTCACTGAAAACTGTTTCTCAACTTCTTTATCCCTGAGATAACCTACATTATATTGGTTTCTATGATTATAAAATGTTAAATATCTTTCAAGTTTCAACTTGATTTTACTGACCAATAGAAAGTGGTCAGTAAATACATCGGTACCTCTGAAAGCCTAACATCATAAAGGGATGATCTATACCTTTTGTTTATACATATGTGCTTATTTGATTGATTGTCTTATGGTCTGGTGATTCCCATGTTGCCTTGTATATTCTTTTATGTGAGAAAATGCTTCCACCAATAACATGCTGGTTTCCTAGATAAAAAAATGGTGAATAACTCTCCATTTCCATTCATTACTCCTAATCCATGACTTCCCATACTCTCTTCATATCCTGTGTTATCTGATCCTACCTCAACATTCAGGTTACCCATCAAAATTTTCATATTGCCCTTCCTTTCATTATTTATAATATCTTGAAGTTGAATCTGAAATTCCTCCCTAACCGATGCATCCTTATTATTTTTGGTTCATCACTCTGTATTACCAACATATTCGCCTTCTGTTTTACACAAGGCGCCAGCATGCTGATAAGGATCACTAGTGAAGAGATCCCGGAAACCCCGTACAACCGTGAGACCATACTTAGGGTCCGGCTATATTTAGGGCCCCCGGCAAAAGCCATGGGGGGGGGGGGGGGGGGGGGGCTTCAGAATAACGACAAATTGCATCCCACATGGGGACGACAGTAGTTGACTCCTTGAAATGCGAATACTGATTTTGTTTTTATTGACTTCTGTATCAGTATGTGGGAACACTACGTGGTTACGATATTATTAACCGATTTAACCAGTTACAGTATTTCCTACTGTATTACTGTCAAGTGTCCTGAAGCCAGATGGCGCTTCAGTTAAATGTTATCTTTGAATTTTGTTTATGTTTGTTACCAAATGTTTCTTAAATTATGGTTCTTAAATCCACAGAAAGTCATAGATTCTGCAATAGAGTTCAAGATGCTTACACTCTAAGATGTTGCCCACAGGTGTGTACTTGAGTTATGTAAAATCTTCTTCTTCTTTTTCTTCCTCTTCTTCCTCTTCTTCTTCTTCTTCTTCTTCTTCTTCTTCTTCTTCTTCTTCTTCTTCTTCTTCTTCTTCTTCTTCTTCTTCTTCTTCTTCTTCTTCTTCTTTTTCTTCTTCTTCTTCTTCTTCAGCGTTCTGAGCCCTTGAGATTCATTGCTGCAGATATCACTGGCCTCTATTCATCTGGGTGATTAGCCATCTTTCCAGTTGATGACACCAAGTGTTTGCAGGTCTGCCTGCATATTATTATCTCTCCATCATCATCTTAACCTGCTTCGTGGTCAACGACAATTCGTCTCCCTTGTGTATACAGTTGTTACATCTCCTCTGTCACCTACCTTTCTGTCAATATGCTCCAGCCATATCAGTCTATAAGACCTCATCATTCCAGTAAACAATGGAGATTTAAACTTATAAATTTAGTATTTGATTCTCACTCCCAATTCCCAACTGTGTGCACTTAGTCCAAAATTTTCGTCGTTTGACTGTATTCGAAAATTTGCAGTAAATCTTCATCTCTTTTAGTTGTGCTCCAAGTTTCAGAGCCACATAAAACAATTGATGCTGTCGGCGTTTTATATATTTTGATCTTGATTACTAATCAAAGACATTAAATGCCCTTGGTCGTTTTTTTTTTTTTTTCACCATACAGGAAGTCGGGCACTCAGAAGGTCTCCCCCTCACTCACTGTATGATCCGTTTGGAGCACCTCACTGTAAAATATCTTTCCTCTGAACTTAACTGAGTAATGAATGAGACGGTGAGGATCATTAATGAACTTCGTAGTCGAGCTATGAACTCCAGACTTTACCCGGGACTTTGGGAAAGAATCAACTCATACCACCAGTATCTCCTTCTCCGTACACAAGTGTTGCAATTATCCAGAGGAAAGGTTCTCGCAAGCCTTCGCAAAATGAGAGATGATTTAAACACACATATTTTAAAACTGATACATACAATGGATGTATTTAAAACGACGGTTACGCTTAGATACTCGTAGTAACGTGCAAAATAAAGATATAGACATGTATCCATTTAAGGCAGAATATTTAATCGCTGCTGTTGTCAACCAGAAAGTGATTTTTTTTTTAAGGTCAGCATTGTGTGTCTTTCTGTGTGTGTGTGTGTGCGCGCGCGCGCGAACGTGTCTGCGAATGCATGTGTATGGGCGCGCCTTCCCAACACATCTGCATACTTCGGAGAAAAGATCTAAAGGACGCTAACCACCTGGGACGTCTAAAGCGATACTTGCCAGTCAGCACTGGGCTTGCCTTTTCTCCACTTTCTCATCATTCTTTGTAAGGCTGTTACAATCACATGCATGTGAAATAGCTTCTCAAGCCCACAGAAAGCTGCAGTGTTGCCACTTTTCTTTGACAAAAAACATCCAAAACTGAGTCCAAAAAATATCTTAAAACATCTTAATTTGCGTGAAAAACATCCAGAAAAAAAAACATCCAAACGGAAAGAGTCACAAATTACATAGCAATAATATGACTTACCTTATAGAATCATGTCCTCATCTTTACTGAAGTCTCCCTCACAAGATCCACAAAGTAAACTTAGCTTGGATGATGAATTTGAAGCTTCAGATCCAAAATGACTCTGGTATGCTTTAGCTGTTCCAGTTTCTTTTAATACCCAATCAGGGAGCTGATAAGTGGAACAGCTTTTTCCTACTCTTATCAGGCCGAATTTTATTGTCAAGATAGCATTTAAGAGGTCAAATTTCATCTTTTTTTTAGGTTAGATTTGATAAATTCTCTCCAAATGAAAAAACATCTACCATCTAAACGTCAAAAACGCCATCTAAATGCAAGGAAAAACATCTAAATCTAGATGTAAAACATCCAAAGTGGCAACACTGGAAAGCTGCTGTGACTGTCACCACCTCCATTTTCAAATTAGCTGTTGTGGGATATACTAGACCTTGTTGCACTAAGGGATGTCCATTTGTTTTTCCAATGAACCCCCGTACACGTCTTTTGCCTTTCAACACACGGTCTTCTGTACTGACAATCACAACACCTGGATAGGAGAGAGAGAGAGAGAGAGAGAGAAAGAGAGAGAGAGAGAGAGAGAGAGAGACAGAGAGAGATAGAGACAGAGAGAGGTTTTATCACATGCCATCTCTTAAATGTGAAAATGTGTGCCATTATTTAGAGCAAAAAGTAATAATGTTTTCTTTGTTTCCTCTGCAGGTTCATGGAATTGTCAACGACACAATCAGTTTTGTCCGTACAATCATAACCACAGAAATCAACAGCGCCACAGACAACCCTGTATCTTTGACTAATATGATATATTCTACAAATTCACAATACTCTATTGTACTACACGTATTTTAATTCAGTATGCATGTATGGCATACATTGTCATTCATTATATTGAAATCCACGACAATATCCTGCTACCTTAAAACTTTTTTAAATTATCGTTATGTGAACTATTTAAATATGTGAAATAGGTTTAGCATTATTTATTTCTTTATTGTGGAAACGCAGTTAGGGCGATATGATGATGAGCACTGTTTATTTGTAAAGTCTTATTATACATCAATAATTAAGTAGAGAGGTTCTTTTGTGGATTGGCATCTCGTATTTTAATGTCAGCACACACGCACACACACACGCGCGCGCACACACACGCACAGTTTCACACTAAACGCACAGCATCACCGACGATTCCTTAATGTTCTTAGATGGTGTTTCCAGAAATGGGTGAAATTGTTTCTGCAGGCAATTTCCACGGTGAATACCCAGCAAAGGTAAGTGAACGACTAACGGAATCTGCCTTTTCTTCTTCTTCTTCTCCTATTCTTTTTCGTCCTCTTCCTCCTCCTCCCTCGTCCTCGTCTTGAAGCAAGTGGTTTAAAGCAGTTTTCGACCATAAGGACTTTACAATCCTCTCTTATTTATATTTTGATTAGGATGGTGTTATTTATTGATTTTTTATTTTTTATTTTTATTTTGTGCACAGCCATTAACATTTTCAAAATATATCATTTTGATGTCCGTTTTCCGGTATAGTTGCGTACAGTTATGTGATGGTTCTGAGACCCTGTTGTTGCTTATGACGACTATATATTTCGCTGCTGGATACCTGAGGGCATTCGAAAAGTGCAGTGTGTACGTTGTACACAGTGTCATTATTGTGTATATGCGTCTGATGCACGACATGCTGGCCAGCATAGCCGCAACAGGGACATCGACACTTACTGCCAGTCTATGGTAACATGGCAACCAAGGATTCTCGCTCTCGCAACAGAGTTCGTACTACTGAGCTGAGCTTCTCCTCGTTAGCTCAACTTGGGTTGAACAATTATGACATGCTGTGCTGCAGCGAACATATTTCTGGCACAATGGGCATTGTAGTCAGAAAGCTGGTTGATTTGAGCACAGATGTAGACGACTCTGTGGTTTATATGGATGGGTCAGTCACCCGGGGCAAGCGTTGGACATGGGCGTTCTCTGTAAGCGCAAACAGGAAACCCATACAGGAGATTTGCTGTTACAACCAACAGTGTCATAAAGGATACCATTGTTATAACAAAGCCACTGGTATAGCTAGGTACCAAAGAATTTCCAGCTACGTGCATACTAAGTGACTCAGTGAAGTTTTAATATTAGATACGATGCCCAGTCATTTGAATTCGTTGCATTTTTTGCCAGTTTTGGCGGCATGTCTTTTTAGTGTCCACGCTGGTCGATAAGCCATGCTGGTGTTTCTGTAATTATTGTGTCTATGTCCACTGTGGCCTACTTAGAATCTTCTTCCTGGTTGTGTATATATGTGTGTGTATGTCTGTGGAAATGTCCCAGTTACTGACTTTTCATTTTGAAATAGCCTTTATAAAAGCTATATTTTTCTCTGCTTCAACCTTGAAGACTTTGCTGTTTAGCTATGCTAATTTTAGCGTTGCACGCGTATACATTTGCTAGCAATTGGGGTCGTGTGGCACTGTAGCCTGTAATAGAAGACTTCGCCTGGACATGTCCACCATATGCCCCTCTATATTGTTTCTGATGAGAATAGCCTACTCCTGGTGTGGTCAGCTATTAATGGTCAATGAAGAAAGTGATGAATCAAGAACTGGCATCGTGGTGCTCACGATATTTCCCACGTGCGTCGTTCCTTTCCCTAGTAGACAACGATGAATTCCCCCATCTTGATAGTGCCCGTTGCAGCCTGAATAAAAGTCAGCCTGTCTTTTATAAAAATCGTCCAAATGTTCACTCCCAGCAGGATCAGTCTCTATAAGTATAAATACTCTGCCGGTTCTTTTGAACTATCCACCTTCTTCCCCAGAGTTTTCATTACAACTGCTTTAACATAAAGTAACTTGCCCTCCAGAGAAATTATAGCAGCTATTCTACCACTCTTGATATTAGCCGGGCAAATACGTACTAAAGATTAACTTGCAAAGACGAGCAAAAAAGATGGAATCTGGTCGCCCGGTTGAGTATAGTTTTGAACGTGTATGCGCGACGCACTTCAACTTAATACTTGCTCAGTAGCATTTCGTTCCATGTGATTACCTTTACTGGGTGTGTTATGAGTTGGAATAATAGTGCTGTTCCTATTCTGTCTAACTGACTGACTTTCTACCCCGCCAGGACATCACACAAGCGATAAACACCTGATGACACAATATGCCACCATGCGGGCGAGGATCACCGGGGAGAGGTCCCAGAAAACCGCGTACAGCCTTTTGGCCATATTTATGGCTGGGCTATATTGCGGCCCCTGGCAAGAGCCAGAGTAGGGCTTCAAACAACGAAAAATTTCATCCTTAAAAGGACGGGAAGTATAATTAGGTCCTATTCTAGTAGTTAGGTCTTCTTATACGTCTTGTGTACCTATGTGGCTGGATGTGCCGATCGTTACTCCTAATTCTCACATTGTTATCAGCTATGTGGAGGCGCTGCTCCTGAAATATTTCGATCGTCTTATCTCTCCGAGGGCAATGTTGACGCGATCTATAGGACGGCCAATTACAGCTTAGGCCGAACAGACCATCTTCAGTTCTTCACTTAACATCGACACCCGCAGGACAAAGGTGAAGGTAACTCCACGCATTGCAGAGTTCTGCAATAACTCAATCTAATGTCTGCGTATGGAATTTGCAACAGTTATCGAGACTTTTAACAGATCTGGCATGATTTGTTTATTCGTTTGTCTATTTGCTGTTTATAATATCCCTTTTAGCGTGATTTTACGACTGTCATTTTTCTAAAACATTTTTTGTCTTCCCATGTTTTCCACAACGCTGGGTGAACTGTTGGACCTGCAACAGGTGCTCGACTATCTGGCAATTGGAATTCACGAACTGGCCAGTATGAGCGAAAGGAGGATCGAACGATTGGTAAACCCGGGTATGAACAATTAGTATTTTTTTTTTTTAAAGACACTCGGTGACAATTTGCAAACAGTGAGAAAATTATGACTTTCAAAAGAATTATATTACATCTATATAAATAAAGAACTATATTTGCAGCATTTTAATAACTGTTACTATTATAGAAAATAATATTAATATCATACCTGTCAAATTACCCGAAGTATTCTTGGATTTGTCGGCTCTGTAGCTAAGTCGATGCGAACGCTTCGTAATTCCGGGATGCCGGGTTCGATCCCAGCTGCGGGCCATGCGCCTTACGTTGGTTTCGACAGTGTTATCAAAGAAGCCGACCGTCAGAGAAGCAATGGCAAACTACTGGACGTAAATCTGCCTATTTGGTTCTGTAACGTCCTGTAAAGGATACGCAACTAACCTATTCTTGGATTTATAACTAAAATAATTACTATGATACAGAAATACCTCTTCCAGAAACTCCATCATTACAACAACAACTTTGAGCGTCGTACTATTGTTGCTGCTACCATCACACACACACTGCTACCACACACGCATACATACATACACACAAACCACCACCACCATTATTAATAATATTAATTTACTCGTATTATTATTCTGAATGTTATGCTTATTTACTCCAGCTCTGAGTGAACTTCCAGCTTTTCTAACTAATAATGGAGGCCTGAATTCCGGTTTTATGATAGCACACTGCACTGCTGCTGCTTTAGGTTTGTTTTTTATGTTTTGTACATCTTATTAGTAAGTTCAACAGGTTGACAACAGAGATTTACTTTACATTTCTGTATCCTCTTTGCTGTTTTCTATCTCTCTTTCTTTCTCTCTCGTTCCGTCTTTTCCGTCTCTTCTCTCTCTCCTGCTCTTCGTTTCTCTCTCTCTCTCTCTCTCTCTCTCTCTCTCTCTAAATATATGTATATATACTATAAATCACAAACCGTTTCCGTCTCTTCTCTCTCTCCTGCTCTTCGTCTCTCTCTCTCTCTCTCTCTCTCTCTCTCTCTCTCTCTCTCTCTAAATATATATATATATATACTATAAATCACAAACCGTTTCTGTCTCTCGTGTTTTTCTACCAATGAAGCGTTAACTCCTCCCAATCTTGACCAATACTCGAGTAGGTATAGGTGCTTGATATCCGTATTATGGATGGATGGGTGAATCCATCAAGCCATTCATCCATCAAGCAAGCATTCCATCTATTCAGCCATCCATCCGTCTAGCCATCCATCCATCCAGCCATCCATCCATCCACACACCCATCCATCCATCCACACATCAATAACACGGATATCTTTGCACATAGAACCATTCAGTCCTTAAGTGTTTGGATCTCCTCCTTTGTAAATCCCGCAGCGTGTAGCGGCTCTCGACACTAGTTCTGTGTTGGTTTCTAAGTCTTCTTTGGCTTCCTGCATAGTGCTCTTGTCTGGCTACACCCCTTTAACATGTTGTTCTTGCAGTCTGGTCAGTGTTGTAGATTTACAATCATCACTTGGTTCTGACAAATGTTTTACTTCTCGTAGAGCATTCAGAATATCAGCATGGTCCCTGGCTCGTCCGCAGTCCACAAAAGCTTTATCTGCAAGCCAATCAGCTTGCTCATTTCCCTGCACCCGCGTGCCTTGGCACAAATATAAAACTGATATGTGTCAGCCCTGACGCTTTAGAGCCTCCAGCCACAGTCTTCAGATCCAGTCCTTCTGCATCTTCGTGGGCATGCTCACTGAGAAAGCACGTGTAGGAAAAGGTATGTGTCTCCGGTCATGTTTTAACCAACTCAAGTTGGTATGTAATAAATTTAAGATGACACGGGAAAGATTTGACTGTCTGTAGGATGTAACCTTGTCAGACGATGTAATATATGCTCATTTGAGTTCACGTAGACTTAAACTAACTAAAGCTGTTTTTTTTTTTTTTTAAACAGTGTCTGAGAATAAAGTACTATGCCATCCTTCCTCCGTGGACTCGCTGACTACCAGTGGTGGCACGGAAGATCACGTGTCTATGGGTGGTTTCTCCGCCAGAAAGGCGCTAACTGTGGTGGAGCATGTAGAGCAAGGTTAGTGACACTTCGGCCGGTGTGTTTACAATTTTCTTTACAAATGTAAGAGATTATAACTCTCTCTCTCTCTCTGTGTGTGCATGCGCGCGCGCGCGTGTGTGTGTAGGGCAGGGCCGTATTTAGGGTGTATGGTGTCCCTGTGCAGTCATTTATTTTACGCCTCTCTTGCATGAGCAAAACTTCAGCACAACTATTCTTCATTTACACACTTTATTGTGTGCACAACTGATAACACAAATGCGCAGTCTTGTTTATTTGTTGTTGGGGGGGGGAGGGGGGGTGGAGAATTGCACATATAGTAAACACACACACACACACAAGAATCATTACAGCCACAGTTAAAAGTATATATTAGAAATACTACAATTTAATAATCATTTTACAAAACTTGAGAAACTTTGAGAAATGGTTGTCTTCTTACAATTTGCATTTGCAAATCCATTTACCATTTTCACAAAAAAGAGACAGTCTGATTGTATAGTGAACACTCCAAGACTGACCAGTTGTTTTGATTCTGCGAGGTCCAGAGATAATAATCAGTCCGTTTTAAAACTGAAAATGACCTTTCAGCAGATCAGTTTGCTGCTACACTGCAGTGGTAAATCATGAGTGCAGAGTGCACATTTGGGTAGGCATAATTAATGTTCTTTAAGACCAACATCACAGAGAAATGGTAGAGATCTTCTGCTTCATCTTTTTTGCGATTACCGGAAAGTTCTCGCTGTTTGTCAAGTTCTAGAACGTGAGTGTTGCGTACACACCCGTTTTACGAATCTGACAAATTTGTATGCAGATGCACTCTGACTTCCCCAGTTAGTCGAATCCAACGACATACTCGTTGGGGAGGCAGTGGGTCAATTATTGTCCCCCTTCCCTTTTCTCCCCCACAATGAGGCCCTGGAAGTCACACTTCTTCTCATCATCTTCTTCTCATAGATAACAGGTAGCTGTTAAAATGGATATATAGTTCACCAAAGCTCCTCCTTGCCGACATTGTAAATGGTTGCAAGTTGTTCTGCAACAGGATAAATGTGAGCAGCTTCTAGCTTGGTTATATTTGGGATGATGACAATCCCAAGTTGTATTCTATGCAGACATCAGTCCTCTTCTGTAACTCATTCTGTGTAGACATCAGTCCTCTTCTGTAACTCATTCTATGTAGACATTAGTCCTCTTCTGTAACTCATTCTATGCAGACATCAGTTCTCTTCTGTAACTCATTCTATGTAGACATCAGTCCTCTTCTGTAACTCATTCTGAAGAGTGTGTATAATTTAATCATAGTTATCCAGAACTAGTCAACATTGACGCAACAAGAATCATCATCTGCAATTAATTCTAAACACATCATTCAAATTTAATTTTGTCACAAATCCGAACATCTATTTATCTAACTGACGTTCAATCCTACCAGGACATCACACTGAGTGATAAACACCCGGAGACACAAAGTGCCACCATTCGGATGAGGATCACCCAGGGATAGGTCCCAGAAAACCCGTTTAACCCATAGGTTTAGGTTGTATTACGGCTCCTGGGGTTTTAGAGCAACAACAAATTGCGTCCGACGTCGGAACGCAGACATCAATATAACACATACTAAAGTCCACGAAATGCCAGACCCCATGAAAGCTAATTCTTTCTAGTATATGAAATTCTAATTTCTCAAAACTAGAATGTGCCATATTATTTTCCTAATTCGTTTTTAAAATTGATCCTTTCGTTTGTTATATTCGTCAGTGAGTAGAAAACGAGACTGAAGTAGTGTAGGTCTTGGTGGGGTGACCTTTGCTTTTTCTTTAAATAGTATGTCGGAAATAAAAAAGGTCAGGTAACAATTGCATTATCTTTCTTTAACAGTCATTGCTATAGAGCTTCTAGCCGCTTGCCAGGCCATGGAGTTTCTTCGACCTCTGAAGACAACAGCCCCGCTTGAGGAAGTGTACAAGTTGGTCAGAGAAGTTGTCAGGTAAGCTTTAAATGTGTGTGTTTTTTTTTAATACTGGTAAAATGTATAAAGAGCACAGGCAATCACAAACAATTTACCCAACTTGCTAAGCTGTTAAGGGGACAAACTGAAGTTTGACATTATTAATATTATCATTAGTATGCCTTCAGTCGTGCACATAGCTATTGTCGATATACATCGTCGTCATTTAGTAGGTCCTTTGCATAACACCACTCTCTTCACGGCAAGTCTGAAAGTCTCTCGTCCTCTAGCTATTTCACCAGCCCTACGTGCTTTCATGGCCAGTGCATCTTCGATGTATTGTATCCACATTCGCAGAGGTGGGCCAATGCTTCGTCTTCCAGAAACTACACCCCCATCACCGTTCTCTACAAGCCATAACACTTAACGTGGCCAAAATACCTCAGCTTTCGAGACAGAATGTTTGAGCCAAATTTTTTTCGACGTTTAGACCATGTAGGATGTCGGCGTTTTCCATCTAGGACAGTGATTTCCAAACTGTGCGCCGCGGTTCCATGGTGAGCCGCGACCTCTTCACAGGGGCACCGCAAAATATTGGAAGATACACGCTTTTTTAAAATCTTTTACATACGAATGGTCATACTTTTACTTAGGGTAGGGCGCCGTGGAAACATTTTAATAGAAAAAAGGTATCGCTACTAAGAAAAGTTTGGGAAACCCTGGTCTAGGGTATTCTAAGAATTTTTCTTTAGCATTTCAGTTCAAAGGTTCAGATTTGTCTTCTTCAAAAACTGAGAAAGAGTCTATGACACACATCCATACCTACACTATATGTCAATTCAACAACTTTGAATACTTGAGTTGAGTTAAGTCAAGAATTGGCATCACAGCACTCGGAGCATTCCCATGCATGCTCCATCCTCATCTTCAGCAGCCAGCGCAGAGTTTCAATACTGATGGTACCGGTCACAATCTGGTTAAATGTCTGTCTTGCCTTTCCTATGAGTGTAGTCAGCCGGCCAGACCCTCTGGTTACACCCAGGTGCCTCATTCTCTCCAGGCCATAATAAACTTCTTTCTCTACTGATTCGGTTGCTTGTTCCCAAAGGAATACTTTGAATACTTTATATTGGCTTCACCAATTCAAAATCTCTGTAGTCTCTTGGCTTTCTAGTTCATTTATTGATATAATCTTCATGCAGTTAAAGACAGTGAGGTCGACGGCAATACAGATTCTCTTTCGCCTTGAGGACAAAAAGCGTTCTTCTAAAAGGGGGTTGATGCACTGTGTGTTGCTTTACAGCTAAGCTGTGATATTTGAATCTTTTGAAACATCACATCTTATTTAAACAACCCCCCCCCCCCCCCACCCCCTTAATTAGTTGTCTTTTACAACATGCTTGTTAGGGCCGCCTCCCCCCCCCCCCAATCCTCTCACATTACCCAGTACACATATATGCGCGCATGATTGCCTACGCCAGTCGGAAATATGTGTACAAGAACGCACAATCAAGCTTTCAATCCATACTGTGTAGTCAACGTGTCTTTTTGCGTTTGTTTTCCTTTACTTCGGTGATTGCCAATCAGGGTCTATATTTATCAAGTGTTATACAGTGAGTGATATTTTGTGTTGATGCATACATTCTCCCCCCCCCCCTTTTTTTTTTTTAAATTAACAGAAACAAACTGCGACATCGGCATTCTTCTTCTTTCTCGGCATTCCGAGCCCGTTAGGTACACTGCTACATCACCTGCCTCCGTTCATTTCTGTGGTCGCTTTGTCTTTTCATGTGGCAACTCTTGGGTGTTTGCAGGTATAAGTAAAGATAACTTTTCACGCCATTAGGCGCATCGGGAATGGGAAGAGCACCGACATTTTTTTAACAGACCGATCGACATTAGGTGGGTAATGTGATCAGCTTTACGCCGGCCGTCTTTACTTCCCAAGGACGTGCATCCTGGTACCCATTTTAGGCTTGGTCGACATGCGAAGCTGCTTGTAAATTATCTGTCCACGGTCTTCTTAGTCTAATAAATGGTAAGATTCTAAGCTTGTTACAAATCTTTTTTATGCATGAAAACTGCCAGTTTTTTTATATTTATTTATGGAACTGGTAGTTAAGCACTTTGATGAATGAGACAGTTGTAATAATTAAGCATGCACTGTAGAGGGTATAAATATACAACCACTGATTGGGTTAGACATTTAACTGCAATAACGTAACACAGATGCGTTAACTGTGTTGACATTAAGCACTCGCTAATGTCTCCGAAATTTGAAACTGTTCATATTCTTATTTATGTTGACAGGCCATGGGATAAAGACCGGTACATGTCACCTGACATTCTGACAGTTACAAAACTTCTCCAAGAAGAGAAGGTGAGTGGTTATTCCTTTAGGGGGGAAAAACATAGCATTGTGTTTAAACTCTCTACAGCGTACATGTGGTGATCAATGAGAGACATACTCCTAGGCCTAATTAAACTTCTCACATAGTATCATCCATAATGAAAATATAGTTATTGTTTGAGAGACCAGAGGCGAATTATAAGACCAATATAGACCCACAAAGACAGTGAGGGCAGGGAACAGTGTCTGTCTGTAGGGAAAGGGCCTATCATCGAGTCTTTCTAACCTAGACTGCGCTGTTCAGCTGCCCTTTTTTGGGATACCTGGCAAGTCACTGCCCCTCTTCGGATAGACGTTTGCCATATAGTCCGGGTCTTCTGCAGCAGCCTCCCGAGTAAGGTTTATATTAAAGGTCTTTAGTCAGCGGTTCTCAACCTGCCGGTCGAAACCCTTTTTTTTGGGGTCGAACGAACTTTTTACAGGGGTCGCCTAAAACTATCGAAAAAACACATATTCATTGAAGTTATGAAGAAAATGTGTATGGGGGAGGGGGGGGGGGGGGGGGTGCCTCAACATAAAGGAACTGTATTAAAGGGTCGTGGAATTAGTAATGTTGGAAGCCACTGCTTTAAGTGATGCCTTTAGCGTGTCCTTTAATCGTTTTCTCCCCCCCCCCCCTTTCCCCCTCTATTTGAGAGAGCGTCAGCCTTCTTGTATCTCATCAAACAAGACTTTTTAGGAGCTGTTGATGTCGCAGGTGGACAACGTGACCTGCCCATTAAATCCGTGACTGCATCAGGATGGTATCGAGGCTAGAAATGCCAGCTCCAATACGACAGTATCAGTGACCCTGTCTTGCCACTTGATGTTCGGTTTCTTCCTCAGGCTGTATGGAAGTGGTTGAGCTTCTTTGCTTGACGTCTATTTACAGTCCATGTTTGACAAGCATACAGCACGGGAAGCAACGCAGCTGTGTATACCTTTAGTCTGGTTCGCAGACTGATATCATTTGAATGCCAGACATTGGTGTATAGTCTGCCAAATGTGCAGCTGGCTTTAGAAAACCATAGTGTTTACCTCACAGTCGACGGTGACATTCTGAGACAGTGTACCGAGGTATGTGAATCTTACATTTTTGATACAAACATTAATTAGACCCACTGCCATCTAACAAAAAGTTAGTTGTGTGTCTTTAACATGATTTTGCAAAATAACCCCAGCAATTTTTGTGGTGGTTGTAGTTTTTCTAGGCAAATTTATGTTCAGTGATTTGCCACTGCTACTAATCGCTCGGCTCTCAATACCAATGTCGAAACCATCTGTGTGACAGATTCACAATAACTCCACATAGTAAATGTAGTGATCAATAAGAGACTCTCTTGAACCCCATTAAACTCCCTATAAAGTATATTATATGTAGTGATCAATCACCTCTTACTAGCGGTCCCCAACTTCGAACTCCAGCCAAAAGTTCTGATTGTTCATCCATTTTGCAGATCTGGTTCATTTGTAGGCAGACCATTAGTTCCACACCTCTCAGACAGGGATATTCCAACACTTCTGAGGAAACACCTCTAATTAGTTGCCTTCTATGACATGCTTGTTAGGCAGCAAACTTTTTTTTGTTCACAAAATCAAGACCCAGGACCCATACAGGGAGGAAACAGACATCATTTACAGAACAATAATGCAATAATCAGACAGAGTGGCAGAGTTGTGGTTTTTGAGAAGAATGCAAATATTATGGAAGGATGGAAAAACAACACACCTGAAAGAGATAGATGAAAGTCGTAAACTTATTAAATAATTAAACATAGACAGTCAAAACATTTGGGGGGGGGGGGGGGGGGGAGACACACATTATGAGAAGGAATGGACTCAACAACTTTGAAACAACTGGCAAGATCGACAGAAAGAGAGCAAGGGGAAGGTAAAGAGATAAACACCTGGATGGCCTGGACGGGCAAGACAGAAACATTGAACTGATCTGTGATTCTGGTCATCATGATACAGTGAATACATCACTGTAACGTTTGTTTTTGTATTGAAATTGTGTTTAATCCTTTCTACATATATTACAATTTGATCAGATATGTTTGTTTTTTTCCCTTCTCTCCAGATCTGGTTCAAAGTGAAACCAATGTTAGATCACTTCCATTCAGTGCAGTCTGAAGAAACTCGTGTATTCTCACCAACATCTACCATGAAAGATGCATCGACAAGTAATAGCCCTTCCCCTAAACGTCGACGAATGGGACGTAACGTGTCAGTCTCTAGCTCAAAATAGAGAAGATGCATTGTTGTAAAATATAAATTTGTCCTTGCCTGCTCTGCTCTAAGTAATGTAATCAGCATTGTGAACAGGAGGTGCAGAGTATATGATATGATACCAGCAAACATTAATTTCATTTTATTGGGTCAGCAAGTTAATCAGATTTATAGTCCATCAAACAAGTGTCACCTTCATTTGACAAAATACTTACTATGATCACTTTTGCTTGTTACTACTAATTATAACAATCCCGATACGGGATGCAATTTTGTTGTTTCAAAGCCCCACCCCTGCTGTGGTCAGAGGCCCCAATAACCTAATGGTTGAGCAAGGTTTCTGAGACCTGTCCCCGGGTTACCCTCATCCGCATGATGGCATCTGGTGTTTATCACTCGGTGTGATGTCCTGGTGGGGTTGAGCGTCAGTCAGTTTTGTTTTTAAACTTGTTTCTTTCAACATGAATTTCTATGTATGTACAAGAATGTGTATATTGTGTGGTTAGCGTAAACCACGGCTGCTGAAATGGTGGCTCGTGTGCTTAATCTGGTGTGCGGAGGCCTAGCAAGTGACTCGCGGGTCACTGTCAAATGGTATTGTATTTGTGACCTTTCCAGGCTGTGGCTCTGACTTCTGGCCTGAAACTAACCCCAATTTCAAAACGTTGACCACTGCATAAACTTAGCTGAAGTGCCCTGACGTTTGCTGATAAGATGGAACTAAATGTGAACCACACAGAATATGTTATACTGGCATTATTTTCATTAACAAAGTGGGGGAAAAACCCAATTTATGTATGACAATACATTTATCTTTATGCTGACAAATATGAAGAAAAAAAATTTTTGACATTGAAATCATCAGTGGAAACCTAGGATATACTGACAGAAAAAAGCAGATTTTAACATATATATATATATATATATATATATATATATATATAATTTCTTTTACAGTAAATTTGTGAAATTCAATCGTGTTTAAATATCTGAGCTACATCCAATAGCAGAAGTAGCAAAAAAAGCCAGAAATGAATCTCCTAATCCAAAAATTCATTTACAAACAAGCTCTCTGACAAACTGTCTGACCAGCTCTTCTGTCTGAATATGAAGGCTGGACAAGGAACAATAACATTGCGACTTGAGGTACTGGACTTTGCTTCTTTCAAATCAGAATATTGTGAAGAGAACTCTTCTTTATGAACAACCAAGCCATTGTGGCAACTACAGCGGAGAAGCAACAGACCTACCCTGTTAGGTAAAAAAAAAAAAAAAGTAAAGGACCCTTTTCCAGGGCTTTAGGCATATAGGGCATATAGGGCTAGAACCTAAAGTTTAATACTGTAAAAAAATAAAGTGAGAGGATTAAAATTGTTGCCAGAATGTTTTCATATAGTATTTATTATTCACAGACAAACTCTGCAATATTAAAATGTGATTTCTCTACAATGAGCCATTTATATAACATGATGATGACTGAAGTCCATGCTATTTTATTATGTAATCTGATGATAAAGGAATAATGAAACTGTTTAAAACAGAGCAAAATCATTATTTTAAAAAATCACCAGCTGACAACCAGAACTATCAGCCACACATGAGGTACATTCCAGTGTCATGTCAGATTTGCTTAACTATCTAAAAATCTGTCTCACCCACTCTCTTTCCTCAATTTTCTTACAGATTTCTTTCAGCCCATCTATTGATGTCCACCAATCTGTTGGAAAAAAAAGGAGCTGCATCCCTACCATTGCATAATGTGTTTATTTACATCTGGTTACAACTGCCATTAAACTACATTGATTATTTAGTTTCTTTGAAAGTGATGCACTTGTTTTGTAAGTTTCATCTCGGTTTCCTCCCTGAGCACTGACTGAGAGACCTGGTAGCCAGAGGTAATTGTCCGGCCTTAATTTATTTCTTCACACTCAGTCCAACATATTACGACTGGCACCTTTCTGTGTTTTCAGACGATAGTGTTATATTGTGCTATGAGGAGACATGGGACTCACAGCCCATGGCGATGCTGAGTGTGAGGACTCACAGCCCATGGCGATGCCGAGTGTGAGGACTCACAGCCCATGGCGATGCCGAGTGTGACTAGCAAGACTCGCCCATGTCAAGAATAGAGTCCCACAATGATAGCGTGGGATAAACATATAATACTTCCTTCTTTCTCTCCTTGTCCTGCAGTATTCTTCATATTCACTACAAACATATAATACTTCCTTATTTCTCTCCTTGTCCTGCAGTATTCTTCATATTCACCACAAACATATAATACTTCCTTATTTCTCTCCTTGTCCTGCAGTATTCTTCATATTCACCACAAACATATAATACTTCCTTCTTTCTCTCCTTGTCCTGCAGTATTCTTCATATTCACTACAAACATATCATACTTCCTTATTTCTCTCCTTGTCCTGCAGTATTCTTCATATTCACCACAAACATATAATACTTCCTTATTTCTCTCCTTGTCTTGCAGTATTCTTCATATTCACTACAAACATATAATACTTCCTTCTTTCTCTCCTTGTCCTGCAGTATTCTTCATATTCACCACAAACATATAATACTTCCTTCTTTCTCTCCTTGTCTTGCAGTATTCTTCATATTCACCACAAACATATAATACTTCCTTATTTCTCTCCTTGTCTTGCAGTATTCTTCATATTCACCACAAACATATAATACTTCCTTATTTCTCTCCTTGTCTTGCAGTATTCTTCATATTCACCACAAACATATAATACTTCCTTATTTCTCTCCTTGTCCTGCAGTATTCTTCATATTCACTACAAACATATAATACTTCCTTCTTTCTCTCCTTGTCCTGCAGTATTCTTCATATTCACTACAAACATATAATACTTCCTTCTTTCTCTCCTTGTCCTGCAGTATTCTTCATATTCACTACAAACATATAATACTTCCTTCTTTCTCTCCTTGTCTTGCAGTATTCTTCATATTCACTACAAACATATAATACTTCCTTATTTCTCTCCTTGTCCTGCAGTGTTCTTCAAATTCCCTACACATGACATTTCATGGGCTACACTTGTATCCTTACATTCTTTGTTAACAGCTTCTGCACCAAACAACAATAACACACAGCACAATAATCCTTGATTTCACTCATTTGTAATTTCTATTTCAATATGTATGTATATTTAAAAAAAAAATGCTTAATCTGTATAATAATGAACACCATAAAAGTACAAGGACTGGGGAAATACAAATGCAACACAGAAACACAAAATAATTATGAAACAATAGTGGACACAAAACATAAAAGACATCTGAGAATAGGAATACAGTAGAACCTTAGATACAAATTTAATCTTTTTCCTATATAAGCTCATGGTGAATATCTCTGAGAAAATTATTTTTCCCATTGAAACGTAATGTCAACCATTTTAACTTGTTCTAACTCTCCGAAATGGTTGTTCAAATTATTTAATGAGTAGAGGTTCTGGAAGAAATTCAACACTGAGGGAAAAACGGCCAGACTTTTGTTCAGGTTGCAACAGTCACTATTAGAGTGTCAACTGTTCATTGGCTTCTGAAGGAGATTGAGCATGCCTGTCAATGTTCCAAGTGCAGTCATGTCAAGCCTGATGCTCTAGTTGTAATTTAGTCAATTATCAGAATCACCATTACAATTATAGATAATTCCACTGCTACAGTCTGCCCTGCAGGTGAAATGATAACAGGAAAATCATCATCATGTTGCAGGTCCTTTGCAGAACGTCGCTCTCATCACAGTCTGCCTGAAAGAAACTCGGTCTCTAGCCAGCTCTCCCGCCTCATGCACTTTCATACTCAAGGAGTCAATTATATTGTGTGCCCATCTTCGTGTTGGTCGGCCCCTAGCCCTCCTCCTGGTACCATGCCTTCTACTATTATTTTTTCCAATCTGTTGAGTCGCTTGATATGACCAAAATATTTCAGGAAAATATAAGTTTCTTATTTTCTGATAGTGCTATACTGTGCAGCATGGGACCACAGCCCATGTTGATGTTGAGTGTGACCAGCAAGACCTGCTTGCATTAAGAAAAGTCTTCCGTCTTTTGAGCCTTTGATTTCAGGAACACTGTTCCCATAGCATCTATTTAATGCACTTCTTAGAAGCTCAGCAAACTTTAATCATGATATCCTTTATTCTTGTTCACTTCCTGATTTTGTTCCCTTCAGTCAACACGGACCACGTCATTACAAATGCTGAATGTTGAATTAGGAATCCACATCAAAGCACTTGTGACACTTCCATAAGCACTCTGTCCCCATCATCAGCAGCAAGAGTTTCAAATTCGATCACACCAGTAGCTGTCTGATTGTATATCTGTCTCACCTTTCACTTGAGTGTTGAGTGTTGCCCAGATCCCCTGGTAACTTCCCTCAGCGCCTTCCTCCTCACATTGTAATGATCTATTTGTGCTTCTGCACTGTTTACTTGCTCCCAAAGGGCCCCTCACAACTTCCAGCTTGTCAGACATCAGTTCACCACCAAGTGGTGGAGAACCAGCCAGTCTATCTGCCTGCTCATTTCCCAACACAACGGAATGACCTGGAGAAAATATCCAGAGGATGTTAACTACCAGGGACCTCTTAGTGAGATTTGCCACTCTGCACGGATCATACCTGTCTCCACCTTTCTGAACATGCTCTGTGAGTCAGTTACAATCACGACGTGTGTGTGCAGCTGATTCTCAAGCCAGCGGAACGCAGCAGTGACAAGCCATTTTGTTTGCATGAAGCTACCTCAATACCTGTATCATTTATGTCCTATTTGCAAACATGTTTATATCATAGTAAAGGGCCAGCCTCGACATCTACCCCTCTGTAATTCACCATAGAGGATGACCTTAGGAACTCTTGATCATCCTTCAGGTGTGACCTAACAAGCCATCGAGCATTGGGAAAACTATAGCGATACAACCTAATCAAATATCTCAGGGTGATTTTCTTGCCACTTACCGCCAAGCATTTTTCATAAGCAGAGACTGTTTTACATGA